TCATAGATCTGACAATCGAAGAAGACGATAAGATAGACTTGTTTACACAAGAGGCAGGTTTACATAGAATCGAAAAGCGATCTGCAATTGTATAAGTTGGTATAATGTAAAGAGTTTGTAGCGAACATTGGAATTATACCAAAGGCTTCAACCCCCCTTCCTTCCGACTTCCTTCAAGATAATCAGTCGGTCTTAGAATTCCCTTCTAGAACCTGGAGTGTGTACATCAGCCCTAAGCCAATGCCCTAACGGCACAAAGAAGAAGAACCACCATGGCGCACAGTGAGAAATAAAAGTATTATGTAATACGATACTGAGCGGATATGGGAGAGACAAAGCACGTGACCTATATGGCCCATGATTCGTCAGGCTTAGGGCTGCGACCCTCGCCATTAACACAAAGTGAGCGGACCCTCGCTTAGCCCATTCTCATCGAGCCATCCGACTTCGTTGTGTGCGTCGACTTGACACCCACGACAACAACCGCCGACAACATCCATCCCACGGGACATTAGATCACCAGGATGTCCTCCTTCGAATCAGTGGTGCGTTTATACCCAACGACTTGAGTGCCGCCACTCTCGCCTCCAAAGTGTGCATATCGAATCTGTGGCTGACTTGAATTGTTTGGAAATAGGTCGTCATCGACGGCAAAGGACACCTCCTCGGTCGTCTGGCCAGCACTGTCGCCAAGCAGCTGCTCAACGGTCAGAAGATCGTCGTTGTGAGATGTGAGGCCCTCAACATCTCCGGCGAGTTCTTCCGCGCGAAGCGTACGTTCAACCCCTTATCTCGAATATTTCCTTTGCGTTCTGTGTGATATTGGGGACAGTGTGAATCAGTGTGGAGGAATGAAGCGATCGACAACACCGGCGAATCGAAACCACTGGCGGTTCTTCTATGGCAGTTGGCCAACTTTTGGAGGAAATGCACTACAACTTGGGTATCAGAAAGCTGACTCAAATTCCGCCGTACAGTCAAGTACCACGCCTACCTTCGCAAGATGACTCGTTTCAACCCTACCCGTGGTGGTCCCTTCCACTTCCGCGCCCCTTCCCGCATTCTCTACAAGGCCATCCGCGGTATGATTCCCCACAAGACCGCCCGTGGTGCCGCCGCCATGGAGCGCCTTAAGGTCTTCGAGGGTGTCCCCCCTCCCTACGACAAGAAGAAGCGTGTCGTTGTTCCCCAGGCTCTCCGTGTCCTGCGTCTCCGCCCCGGTCGCAAGTACTGCACCGTTGGCCGTCTCAGCCACGAGGTTGGCTGGAAGTACCAGGATGTTGTTTCTCGGTACGTACAATCTCTGATTTATCACCTTTGTGGTTTACTGGCGCAATCGACAAATCCTAACATTTTTATAGCCTCGAGGAGCGCAGAAAGGTCAAGAGCAAGGCTTACTACGAGCGCAAGAAGGCCGCTCGCCGTGTCCTTGCCAAGGCCGAGCAGGGAGCGAACGTGGACAGCAAGACCAAGACCCAGCTTGCTCAGTATGGCTACTAGATACCTTTAGCGCGGCTGGTTGTTGTGTCGAGCGATGGTTCTGGGATGGAATCGCGGACGGTTTTCTTTCAGCGAATTTGAACGGCAAGCCGACCGACCTTTTTCTGCGGCCCGGTTCCCTAGCTCATGAATACCACTGTCTGTGACGCACATGACAACTTGGGGACTGGGGTCTTCGGAATTTTCAAAAGTCGAAAAGACACGGAGTCGATTGGGATTAAAGGTTCAAAATAGCTGGCCGTTGACTCGCGCCGTGGCGGTTTAATCCAAAGAAACAATTTTCAAGAGTTCAACATGATTCTTATGATCAAAAAATACTTTGACCTACACTTTTTTCTGCTTGGTAGCCTGTAACGTACGGCTATTCACACTATGAGTATGCGCATACATATTCTTGCCTACATTTATCCCCGTACTGCCCTGGGTATATCCATTTCATAGATGTATAACTTATATGTTATACTCCCACGTCCAGTTATAACATGATTTGACTGAATCCATTAAAAATCCAAGATATTTCTGGCTCCATAGTACTAGTAGTACAGTCATACCTCCACACTCTTGCGACTCGGATATGATCCCCGCTTTCCAGACCGGTTCTTAGAACAGTGTCTGTGTTTTACACGAAACTGCCATACCGACCAATAATCATCTCATGAGGGTACAATCTAGGTACTCTAATAGTCGTCACCCGTCGACCCATAGAGATGTGACCCTCGTTCAAGTACCTCAATTTCGTCGCCAACTTCTATATATAATCCTGCTTCCTGATTTTCGGCGCTCTTCAGGCTCGAATCCTCAGGAACACAATGCATGCCTAGATAGCCGAGTGCCGCTTTGTTTCCCATCTCGACCGTGCGGTACTGCACCAATGTTGTGCTTGGCTGTGGTTTGCCTCTCTTTTTATGAGCAGGCGGGGTATCCGCGTCAAAACTTCCAGTCTCCGGGTTGACGTTAGGCATTGTGCATCGAGATGTACGACAGACAACAGAGAATGCAGGCGCAACACTGGCTCGTGGCTGGGTACCGCTACTTTTTTGCAAGATGCGGTAGCGTTTCCACGTCTCTTCTTCATATGCTGGAGCGTTTGCAATCCATATATTTGCACGGAAACGAAGTGCATTCAAGGGCTGGTTCTCGGTGGGAAGGAGGGCGGACACAGCATGAACCGAGGACAAACTGTTAATGTTGACAGGCTGCTGATCCGTGTAGCCATGGAGAGCCGGTGAACCAATGTGTTTAAGTGGCGCAAGGTTCCTATCCGTACGGGTCATGGTATCCGGAGTACATTTGAAGAGCGTGAGGCTTTGCTCTCCTGGTATTCCCAAGAACTTCTTTAGCTTGGGCAAAGCTGCTGCAATGGAGGGTATCCCGCCAATGTCGAGGCCCTTTGCATCACGACGATGGATGCCGAACGTTTTCAATTTCGCCTGGGCGGCGGTAATATTGAGAGGCACAATAAAGGATAGCTGGGGTCGTGAGAAGGGATTCCTTGTATGGAAAAATGTCTCAACCCGACTAGTCCAACTCGGGAGGTCTGGGTCTTCAAATGTCATGACCACACACCCACCCGACTGCACTAGCGGGTCCTGTGGATTGCTATATTTGTGCGGAAGCCATAAATCTGCTTTAATCTGAGACATGACTGGCTTCGTGCGCTGGCTGATAAATCGCCATTTTGAGGCCGCGGTGTCGTCGCTGTTGACAGTTTTCGTCGCAAATGCAAAGCATCTATCATACATAAAACCAGTCTTAGTGAGCAAGGCCCGATCTACCTCGACAGGCCCGCAAGACTTGATAGGATGGAGATATATTGCTTTGATGCGCGGTGGTCCATCAATCGTAGTCCCCGGTGGCAGGCAGAATCTAGGATTATACTGGTCTGCCATGTTGCTCATAGTTAAGCCGAGCCTTTGTAGGTGTCTTAACTTCCTGCATGTTGTATGGATATTCCCACACTGTACAGCAACAGCCGAGAGGATGCTTAGAAGAAGTATGAGGATTATAGCACAACAAATAACAAGAGGATGATTCATGGAAATTCGAAGCGATTGCAAAAGATGGACGAGCATAGCGAACGAAGGTTTTGAGGATTTGGTCTCTTATAGTGTCTGTCGAAATTCGATACAGTGAGAAGTCCGGTAAATAATGCATGCAAGTGTTGAAGTGGTGGGCAAAAGAAAGTAAACTCGATATGAATCTCGACCCACGAAGTTTGTCACAGGGCAGAATACGGCTTTTCCATTTCAGGGAGTTAAGAGGAGCGGGTCCACCTCATGGCACTCAAATGAGGTTAGTCGATATCAACTTGGACCAGGAGCTATACAATACAGACAGTACAAGCCATGGAAATATAAAAGAAGCATCTTCGCAAGGGTTCCAAGGTTAGGTAGCTCTTTACATAATATGCACAATCTTTTGTGTTATAATCTGCGAAGAATGAAGGGAAAGGACGTACAAGGTATGAGATGGAGTTTTGAAGGAGTGACGACGCATAAATCTTACTAGTAACACCCGTGGTCCCACATCCCGAGGTCATATTACATATTACAGACTGTTCTGCCGGTCGAAATATCCGCCCAAGATTAGCCAGGTAGCTATTATAGCATACTTGCTACGCCAAAAATTACATTTCTGACTAAACTGACACTTGAAAATCTACTATATTTTTAAATGCTTACGAGACTTTGGACGCCTTAAATCAGGACTTGATGAGCGGTTTGGTAGGCGGTAGAGCTTGAAACGGGCGGTGTGACATGTGGGTCTCCGAAGGTGTTAAGACATGCGTAGTCACTGTACTCCGTACAATAGTATGCATAGTCATCGTACTAGTATGTATGGCAGTTAACTATGTACGTGTAAATGTAAATTACAATATAGCTGTTTCAAAAACATACATAACTATGTAGGCTTTCCAAGGAAGCGGTCTGAAAAGCGGAATGACCACCATCTTTCTACATTGGGACTAGCGGATATCCGATTCTTGTTCAGGAATCAAGGAGCAAGAGGCATAACTGCCCAGGTGAGCTCGAACACTGCTGTACCAGGTCTTGTACAGACCAATCCATGATAATTCATTGAAGGGAGACTACAATGTAGATCAACGGATTCCCGAGGCCATATTCAATCCCTTAGTCCGGATACCCCAGAGCTACCAAGGTAATACCCGAAAATCCCCCGCTTGTGATTGGCATAGCCTAGGTTAACCGCTTTAGTGCCGGTATCCCCGCATCCACGGATTTCTCCAACTTGGAGTACTCCATCCCTCTATAATCTTTTACCCTGCATAATTCCAATCGTTATCTCTTCATTCCTCGACATTGGTACGTTTTGTTGCAACCTACGCTCCCGGTATAGCATGTCTGGTTCAAAGTCTCGGTTGTCTGGCCTGCTTGGCCATTTCACAGGTTCAACACCGCCGGTTGAACACCGTGTTAATACCCACACGCTATCCCCGACTTTCTTTCTTCCGCGTGCTGCCGCCGTTGAACCCAATGTAAGCTCTCCGCAGGTGGTACCTAGGTACTCCTTCAATAGCCTAACAAAGAATTACACAGGCCGAGGCGATCTACCACGTAACCGCCAACAACAAGGTCCTTCGCAGGAGCTATGGTGAGACTGCAGACCGAGCGAGGGGTATGGCTTACTACCTCAAGAAACATGGGTTCGGCAGAGTGGGGATACTCTGCCCGAATACCCCAGCATTCCTCGAGTCAATTTTCGGAATTGCCGCAGCTGGCGCTGTTAATATCGGTAACCTAATCGTCTTCTGAGCGGCGGTATCAATTGAACTGACATGTTTGCAGCTGTCAATTATCGTCTGAAACAAGAAGACATTGCTTATATATTTGATCATGGTGACGCGGAAGTGATCATCGTCGACGAGGAATATGTTCCACTTCTGAAGCACTATCGATCCCAATACCCCCACATCCCTATTATAGTAGATACCGATACTGATGCGACAGAGGGTGAGCTGACGGGCCCCTTTGATGAGGCTGTTTTGGAAGGCCTTAGGCATGACATCGATACAGGTTCTCAGGGTTGGGAAGGGCTCGAGAGCCAAGCTGCCGATGAAGAATCTACAATTGCATTGGCATATACAAGTGGGACTACAGCCCGTCCCAAGGGTGTTGAGTTCAGTCATCGGGGCTGCTATCTGGCAACATTGGGAAACGTCATTGAAACTGGTCTGAACTATCACCGCGGGCGTGCCCGTTACCTATGGACACTACCCATGTTTCACGCTATGGGTTCGTGCATCTTCTTAACTGAGTGATATGAAATCAGCCTGCATAACTAACATATGTATTTATACATATAGGCTGGACATTTCCATGGGCAGTGACAGCCGTTCGCGGAACCCATTATTGCCTACGCAAGATAGACTACCCCGAGATCTGGAGGCTGCTGAAAGAGGAGCATATCACCCATTTCAATGCTGCACCGACTGTGAACACCTTACTCTGCAACGCGAAAGGAGCAGAGAGACTGCCCGAGCCTGTCCGCGTCACGGTGGCAGCAAGCCCGCCCACACCCCTTCTCTTCGAACAAATGACCGACCTAAACTTGCACCCTGTACATGTTTATGGAATGACGGAGACGTACGGCCCACTCACCAAGGGCTACCATTTGCCAGAATGGGACATGCTTCCTCTCAAGGAGAAATACCAGAGGATGGCCCGCCAAGGCCACGGCTTTATTACAAGTCTTCCAGTTCGGGTCATTAAGACGGAAGTGCCTGAAGGGACCATCACGGACGTCCGCAAGGATGGCCAGGAGATTGGCGAGGTTGTTTTTGTTGGAAATCTATGTGCCCGAGGATACTACAAGGACCCCGAGGCAACTCGGAAACTATTTGCAGGAGGTGTTTTGCACTCCGGAGACTTGGCTGTCTGGCATCCCGATGATGCGATTCAGATTCTTGATCGTGCAAAGGATATCATCATCAGTGGTATGTGTGGCGAGTGGCTCAACTGCCAAGAGACCAAATTGCTAACAATGATTAGGCGGCGAGAACATCTCCTCCGTTGCACTTGAGTCTATGCTAGTCATGCATCCTGATATTTTGGAGGCTGGTGTTGTTTCTGTTCCTGACTCCCACTGGGGCGAAAGACCGAAAGCCTTTGTTACAGTGAAGGAAGGCAAGAGCCTACAAGGATCAGACGTGATTGACTGGGCTCGAAATTCTAGCGGAATCAGCAAGTTCATGATTCCACGGGAAGTGGAAGTGGTTACTGAACTACCCAAGACCAGCACCGGCAAAATCCGGAAGAACATCCTGCGTGACTGGGTGAAAGGTCTGAGAGAAGCGTAGACAAAGACGACAGCTGAGACGGATATATTTCTACATAGATGATTAGATTACATTGAATACGTGTTGGGAGATCCTGAAAGAAAGCAGGGCTTCCCTACATTCCAATGAGGTCAGATGTCCGGTCTTCCCGCTAAAATAACCTCTATATGAAAATTACATACGGAAGGCTTACCGTAGATAGTGATAACCACTACCGATTCTCTATTTTCCCATATTCCACATTAGCTTATTCTACCTGTCCTAGCCACCGTAAGGTCCTTCACTATTGTTCCTAATCTAGCTAGTGCTAGAAGTAGGAGAACCAAGACGCAAAAAAACTCCTCTCACGCGGGATCGAACCGCGGACCTTGGGATACCAGGGTTTCCTGGCGAATAACAATTACAGTCCCACGCTCTTCCAGCTGAGCTATAAGAGGTACATTGATGAAGGTGGCAATTTCAGACATTATGGCAGCCGAACTTCCCCCACCGAGTAGATCGATTTGTACATCAAGCACGAGGCCACATCAAGCGACCTTGAATACTTCCAGCCTTCACTACCTGGTTCAACCAGCTACTCTAATCCTCACTTTCTCTTATAGAAAGGGTTTACAAGTTTCACAACCAAAAGGGCTATACAATCTACATAGGTACAGACCCTCCCATCTTATCAAACGATAAGCTGTGCTTGGCACTGACTCCGCAGCACTGTGAAACCCGGCCCCATTGCCTCATCCCCCCTCCATTGCCGCTTTTATCCTTTCACATTTACTTGCATTGATTTTCCTGGTTACGCATTTGCATCTGACCCAAGGGGTGCTTGGGGCCATGATCTAGATCGGGTCGACTTCATTTTGAACGATCTGCCCTTGTCCACCTCTCCCTTGCCATCCAAACACGCACCGCGAAACCACGCTTACATCCCTCGTGCACCCACCTTACTGCAGATATTTCCGGAAAATTACGTTTATCTACCAGGCTTCAGACAAAAAGGTCTTAGGACTGTTGACCGATCAAAGACTGGCTGCATCTGTGGACCGGACTTGCCTGTTCCAGTCTCACATGCACCGCCCATGCAAAGTTCCCTGAAGTTATGAGATTTCAACCATACCGACACCCGAAGAATATATTGAAGGGAACTTCGAAGAGCGAATCTACCCCGACTAGGATGCATCGGCTACGAGAAGCCGGTCGGTGCTCAAGTGCAGCCCCTTCCGAGACCTCTGGGTCGACGTCACCCGAACGTGCCGCCGATGATGACACCGATTTCTTCATGGCCCAGGCCAACGACTCCCAATCTTCCATCGGCGTCGCCAATTTTCGCGATTCTCGCCTGTCAAGTGAACCATCCGAGCCACTACCGCCGATCGGCCGCCTCCCACCCGAGATTCTGATCGCGATTTTCTCGAAATTGGTTGCGCCCATAGATATGCTCAATTCCATGCTGGTGTGTCGTGGATGGGCTGCGAACTCTGTAGGGATACTATGGCATCGGCCGACTTGCAACACCTGGGCCAATGTGAGAAGCGTGACTACGTCGTTGGGAAAACTGGATAGTCTTTTCAACTACGCAGACCTTATTAAGAGACTGAATCTATCTGCCCTGTCAGATGATGTTAGCGACGGAACCATCGTCTCTTTCAACCAGTGCAAGCGGATTGAGCGGCTGACATTGACAAGCTGCAAGAACTTGACAGATAAGGGCGTGTCGGACTTGGTGGAGGGGAACCGGCATCTGCAGGCGCTGGATGTTTCAGAATTGCGACACCTCACAGACCACACGCTTGCCACGGTGTCCAGGGACTGTCCCCGTCTGCAAGGACTGAACATCACGGGATGTTCAAAAGTCACCGACGACGCTTTGCTTATTGTATCGCAAAAGTGTCGTCAAATCAAAAGGGTATGTGGATTATATGCGGGGATTTTAGGTGGACACCGAGCGCTAACTGTATGATAGTTGAAACTCAACGGGGTTTCCAATGTATCAGACCGGGCAATTCAGTCCTTTGCCGAGAATTGCCCGTCTATATTGGAAATCGACTTGCATGACTGCAAGCTTGTCACTAGCGCATCAGTGACTCCGTTGCTCACAACACTGCGGCACCTCCGAGAACTGCGGCTTGCGCACTGCACTGAACTTGACGACAACGCGTTCATGTCGCTACCTCCTCAAATGAGCTTTGACAGCCTTCGCATCCTGGATCTCACCGCATGCGAGAACGTCAGGGATGACTCAGTGGAACGAATCGTGCGCGCAGCTCCTCGTTTGCGGAATCTGGTGCTGGCAAAATGCCGATTTATCACAGATCGATCTGTGATTGCCATTTGCAGGCTAGGAAAGAACCTGCACTATGTGCACCTGGGCCACTGTTCGAACATCACAGACTCGGCCGTGATCAACCTAGTCAAGTCCTGCAACCGCATTCGATACATCGACTTGGCCTGCTGTAACCTCCTAACGGACCGTAGTGTACAGCAATTGGCGACCTTGCCGAAGCTCCGAAGAATCGGGCTAGTCAAATGCCAGGCTATCACCGATCAGAGTATATTAGCGTTGGCACGGCCCAAGATGGGCCACCATCCTTCCGTCAGCAGTCTAGAGCGTGTTCACCTAAGCTATTGCGTTCAGTTGAGAATGAAAGTGAGTCTTGGTGGAAGGTCCTGATGTACACGATATCAATACTGACATTACGTCTTAGGGTATTCATGCTTTGCTGAATAGCTGCCCGCGCCTGACTCATTTGAGTCTGACCGGCGTCCAAGAGTTCCTGCGAGAAAACCTCACTGCATTCTGCCGAGAAGCTCCCCCGGAATTTACGCAACAACAACGGGACGTCTTTTGTGTTTTCAGCGGTGATGGTGTCAATCGACTCCGGGATCACTTAAACCGACATGAACCACAATTCCAAGAAGAAGCCGAAGCCACGATGTACGATGACGACGAAGAACTGGACGAAGATGAAGGCCAGATGACTGGGCTGATGAATGCAACCGTCATCAATGACGGAGACGATGATTATATCGACGTTGGGCCTTTGAATACTTGATACGATACCCCCTTTCTTTGCAGTCGAAAATAAGCCCAGGCCCTCGCATTTCTTCCTTTTATTCAATTCCCTGTTTCCTTTATCCGCGATCCCTAGCTGGATCAGTCAGGCAGACATATTTCTACCCATATGAGCAAAGATCACTTATCCTTCATTCTGTGTTATTGTGGGAAATGCATTAGTACGATAGCGATTACGGACTTTGGATTATTTTTTTTTGTCAATGTGTAATCGCATAGAATTTAAGCAATTCTCATTTCATTCACTTATTATTCCCCAGTTCAATGCCTGCAGTTGTATAAGTGTAGCAGGGCTTGTGCAGCAGATATGCAATGTATGTACATAAATTATGTGACTTGAAGTTATGTACCATCACCACAAGCTACCCCCGCATTTACCTCAAATTCGACTCCAACGTCAACCTCCACTCCACCCGTTCATTCTCAGCTTGAACAGCACAGGGTATGGCTACTCACAAGGCCAGAAACCCTCTGGCATTCACGCCGTGGCCGGTGACAATTCTCACCACAGCCGTATACCTCGCCTTAATTATCCCATTGCTGGTGATCCACCACAACGTCCCATCCGCACCCCGGACCAGCCCCAACGGCCTCAATCTCACAGAGGCATGGCAAGACCTCCAAAGCCTGACAAAAGGCTTTCATCCCTACAACTCGCATCAGAATGACAAAGTCCGCTCGTGGTTGCTCGAACGCATCGACGCGATGAAGCAGTCCGCCCCATCCACTGAGGAATACCGCGACGCGAAGGAGGAGAAGCCCGATATTTTTGTTTTCGACGACCTAGTGTCTAACCTGACTTTCATCGATAAAAGTGTCGGCGTCTACTTTGAAGGCACCAATATTCTCGTCTACATTCGTGGCTCCGAAGATAATAAACAGAATTGGTGGGAGACACCCGGCCGAGTGCCCGTTGGCAAGGGAGGAGTACTTGTCAACGCGCACTACGACAGCGTTTCGACCGGGTACGGAGCGACAGATGATGGAGTTGGTGTTGTAACGTGTCTGCAGCTGGTGAAATACTTCCTGACACCGGGCCATGCGCCGCGCCGCGGGTTAGTGGTTCTCTTCAACAATGGCGAGGAGGACTATCTGAACGGCGCACGCGCATACAGCCAGCATCCGATGGCGGGCTTTGCCCACACGTTCCTGAACCTGGAGGGTGCAGGTGCTGGAGGTCGTGCTACATTATTCCGCAGCTCGGATACGGAGGTCACCCAGGCGTATGCGAAATCACAGCACCCATTCGGCTCGGTGTTGAGCGCCAACGGGTTCGAAAAGGGTCTCATTAGCAGCCAGACGGATTATGTCGTTCTGAACGGTATCTTGGGCCTGCGCGGTCTAGATGTCGCTTTCTTTGAACCCAGAGCTCGTTATCATACTGATCAGGATGATGCCAGACACACCAGTATCGACTCGCTTTGGCATATGCTCTCCACTGCTGTTGCCACGACGGAGGAGCTTGTATCTGACACCAGTGATCGATTCAACGGACACCTCCGCGACGATGGAACTGTGCCTAGCGGCTCAGGTACCCAGGCTGTTTGGTTCGATCTGTTTGGGAGTGCTTTTGCCGTGTTCCGTCTGCACACGCTCTTTGCATTGTCTGTCACTCTGCTGATTGTAGCGCCGTTGACATTGCTTGTCACCAGTGTCATTCTTTCAAGGGCTGACAAGATGTATCTCTTCCGCTCATCGGCATATTCCGAGGTCAACGACGACTATATTCCGTTGCGTGGTTTGCGTGGTTTCTTCCGGTTCCCGTTCTTGATCTCAATTCCTACAGCAGTGACTGTCGGATTGGCTTTCATGGTGACGAAAGTCAACCCTTTTATTGCCCATAGCAGTTCATATGCCATATGGAGTATGATGATCTCAGCATGGATCTTCTTGGCTTGGTTTGTATCTCGCGTCGCAAACTCCGCGCGACCATCAGCTTTTCATCGAGTCTATACCTGGACTTGGATGTTCGTTCTTACCTGGTCTCTCATGGTGGTTTGCACCGTCTATGAGCATGAGGAAGGGCTCGCTGGCGGCTATTTCATGTTCTTTTACTTTGCCGGTACCTTCTTGGCCACATGTATCTCCTATTTGGAATTGTTCGCTCTGCCGACGAAGTCAGAGTACGCCGCTAGGTTAGCTGAATCACGGCGGCCTAGTACCCAGGGAAGCCGGCTTGCTGCATCGGGCGATGAGCACCACGACGACGATGCTGAAGAGGACCCGACTGAGTCAACATCACTCTTGCATGGCCGACACCGCCCCACTTTTGCCAACTACGTCCGCGTTGGGGTAGACCGCGCATCTCATGAACTAGACGAAGAGGAAGAAGAGAAAGACCCGAACGTGTATGAACACGAGCAAGGGTGGAGTGGCCTGTTACCGCGATGGACGTGGCTGTTGCAGCTGCTCATCACAGCTCCAGTAATTCTCATGCTGATTGTGCCACTGGCTCTTCTGACTACTAGCGCTCTCAGCCAGACCGGTCAGGATGGTAGCCCCCAGCTTATTGTCTATCTCTTCATTTCCTGTCTTACTGCACTCCTCTTCGCACCTATGCTGCCATTTATCCACCGCTACACATACCATCTGCCTATCTTTCTACTCTTTATTTTCATCGGAACCATGATCTACAACCTTGTCGCCTTCCCGTTCGCAGACTCCAACCGCCTGAAGCTGTTCTTCCTACAGGAGGTCGATCTCGATAACGGGATCTCCACTGCTTCACTGACTGGCATGCCTCCGTTTGTCAAGGATGTTACCTACGGGCTCCCCAGTGCAGCAGGCCAAGATGAGACCTGTGCTTGGATTTTCCGAGGCAAGAACAGAGTCCAGCGATGCTCCTGGAGTGCACCATTACCACATGTTGTCCCCAGTTCTGCCTCTATATCCGTTTCAAATGAGGATGCCGACTCTCTGCTTGACGCTACCGAGCTGTCGCCGGACTGGATTTCCTTCAGCATTTCCCACCCTCAATCGGACAGTCCCTCCGTCCGCTTCCAAGTATCAGGCCGAAACACACGTAACTGCCGTATCAACATGGATGGCAACTACATCACGAACTTCAGTGTGATTGGCTCCTCCGCTCCAGACGACCGCTTCCTAAACCCGTCGCCAGATGGTCTGAACCGGATCCAACTGTGGAGTCGTACGTGGGACAACAAGTGGACCGTTGATGTCGATTTCTCAAAGCATGACTCGTCTGAGACCGATGAGGTCGACGGGTCCTCTATCACGGGCCGCATCACCTGCCTATGGAGCGACAATAACCGAGTTGGCCTCATCCCCGCTCTTGACGAGGTGAGACAGTTCAGTCCGGCGTGGGTGGCTGTGACCAAGTTCTCTGATGGATTGATTGAGGGATCTCGAGCTTTCGAGATTAAGCGTTCGGACCTCGGGGCTTTGGGGTCTTGAGTCTTGGTGGTAGGAGAAACCCGGCCTCTGGTACCTTTTTCTATGTACGATTTATGAGCTGTTTTGTTTGCTGTGTTGTGTATCATCTTATTGACGGGCATTTGTTGATCTGTATTTTGATCGAGACATACCATTACCCTTGAATCCATCCTCTAAGCAATGAAAGAGGTGTTTAATTGAGAATATCTAACCTCGGAATCTCGGAGCACTTTAAGCAGTTTTAAACTAGAGCCATGCCATCTGAGCTCTAGAGGTATCCGCTTACCGGGGCTAAAGTTCTTTATATCCATGGAAATTCATCCTGCAAAGTTCTAGATAGGTCCGAAGACACGACCGAAGATCGAGACAGAAATCATTAAGGATCTTAGGACTATAGTGCTTGTTGGGAGCTTAAGGCGGCCTGGATATTCCGAAACAGAAGAGTGTGCAATCGATATAAATGGAACGTATTCAATAACAACCGCGTCTCAGGAGATAACTACTAGGAGTCGTTCTATATACATGGAAAGCTGAACATGCATCTACATTGCATTATCGTAAATGAACCCTTGCGGGTTGCATGTTTGTGGATTCCCCATTGGGAGAGTTACTGGCTCGGTGGCACCTCAACTCTGAATCCTGCTGGGCGCGATACCGAGGTTTGACTGTGGGAAGTTGAGTTCCCTCAGGGTTGTCGGGGAAGAGACCAGTTTGAAGACTGGTTGATGTGTGATGTCCACGGAGAACGAAGTGGGATATCGAGAGTCTTGATGAAGATCATATCTCATAAGCCGTGATTCATAAAGAAGTTCGGAGGATGTAGCCGTGATGGGAACTATCCTCATCCTGGTTTCTCAGGCATTCCACGCCGACTTTGGTAACGTGGATAATGGGCAAAAGGATTGGTGAAGTCGATGGGGAGATGATCCACATGATAGGCGCGGCCCTCGTTGCTCCACGAGTTGGAGAGATCGGAATTAGTTCGTATGCGGTCGGGCGGTAGATGCTCGAACATGGCGATAGAGATGTCGTCGGCATCCATCCGGGACGGTCTGCGTTGGATGGCGCTATGGGTGGCATGGGTCACGTCGGAGGTCACACGGGTTGCGTCGACGAAATCCGGGAGGTCGAGTGGCGCAGAGAAAGATTCTGGTTTCCAGACGTGGTTGTGAACCAGGTGAATGAGTTTACCGAGGACGGCGAATTCAAGCTTCAGCTTGACGCTGTATACGACGCCTTTGAGCATGGTTTCCATGATGTAGAAGTCCAAGTACTCGGCGACGAGCAGGCCCAGGTCCAGAATGATGATGATGAAGTTGATCGTCAGTAGTTGGTACTGAATCTTGCGCTTGGTACGGTCCGGGTCTAAGCGTAGCATGCGTACCGTTTCCCAGATGTATAACCCTGAGATGATGAATTCCTGCAGACAAAAGCCTGTCATTTGGATCTTTTCCATTATGTTGTAGGCTTTTGTCCACAGGGAGGTGTTGTTGGCCACGTTGGTACCGTAGGTGAGGGCGGTAGTGGGTAAATGGAGGATGATTGCGTTAACCACGATCATAATCAACACGCGACGCAGGACTCGCTGGTTTGATAGGACCAAGTGTAGGCGTGAGTACAGGACAACAGACTGGCCGGTCACCATGGTCCACCATCCAATTGTGAGCAAGGTGACAGGGAACCATTTAATGTCGTCGGTGAGTTTGAAGAATTTGAGCAAGAAGCCCAACGAGTATGGAAGTAGACCAGCGGAGGAAATAAATAAACTCCAAAAGTAGAGACCCCGGTATTCCGCGAAGGTGACGAAGAGGAGAATCATTAGCTCGAAGGAATTGTACCAAGTGACACCAGCAAGGGTTGCGATCGTGATCTGCATGCCCAGGGAAGTTCCCTGGTAATGACCGCTGATGCCATTCCCGGCGGCAGTGAAGCCCATGGCGTTGAGTCAGTATCAGGGGAGTAGCATGGTTTGTGTAAGTGTAGGATGCAGAGGAATATAGGACCGGGAAACTCGAGGACCCAGTAGAAAAGGAATAAAGAAAAGAAATAAAGAAAGAAAAAGCCCCCAAGACAAAGAGGCAAAGCTGGGGCGCATCCCGTATGCGGGGGGCGATCGGGGTACCCCAGACTTGTAGATATTCGAACGTATGACATTCGTAAAGGTAGTAATGGTTAATACTAAATAATAAACCCAAAATGGCAAATCCACGAAAACAGATCGGTGTGAGAGATCCAAAAAAGCAAAATGTCCTCGAGGATTCGCTTATCTCTTACTGTATATGATTGGATCTCTCTTTTCGATCTCACATCCTATATTGTGTCATCTATTCGGGGTCTCTTCTACAGTACCTAGGTACGATTGTGAACTTATCTCTAAAACCTCATTTCAGGGGAGATTGGAAACACTCGGCAAAAAGGCCACGGCTAAATGAGTGGAATTGCACGTCCGCCAGCCAAGTCAGCCAAGGCTTTTTGGGGGCATTTCCGGCCTCACTGCCAGGATTATAGCCCGCTTTCAGTGCGCCACGGAGAAAATCTCATTTCTTAGCAGATAGCCTTTCCTTTAATCCTCGATCTGTGAATTAGATGTCCTTCCTTTGTTCCAAGTCCCACTTGACGGACAGTATTTGACAAAGACAGGAGATCCTTCCATGGATGGATTGTGAGAGGATTCCCCTGATTCCCCCTGATTCCCAAGCCCAAGGCAACAAAGACCTGCTGATGTCATCGGGAATTGGCGCGTGACCCACTGACTAACACAGCCCTAGTCTCCCGTCTAGAGATGATTTGTATGAAAGGCATCCACTCTTACGAACATGACGAATCAGATGTGATTTCGATCAGACTCATTCATAATACTTCATCCAATGATGCTTTTCCCGAAAACCAAGCAGCTCCTTAATTTTCCGATTACAGATGGGCGCCTCTCTGGCCCCCAGCTCTCGCGTAACCGGGACGCCAGGACAAATTCGCGCTAGGAACTCGGCAGTGTTCTCGTAATTCGTAATTTCGTCATTGACAGCATTAAAGATCTGAAATCCAAGCCCATCCTTCTGGACTGCGAGATCACACATCTGCCCGAGATCACGAGCATCGACATACGCCCAGCCATGCGGCGCCCATTTCTCCGGGTTCTCAACATATGATCGGAACATGGATTGTCTGTACTCTTCCGGGGCGACAATGCGCCCAATGCGCATGATATAAATGTCGCTTGAATACCGGCGCGCAAAGCCACGCGCAATGCTCTCGCCGCATACCTTCGAGATAGCGTATGTGTCCATCGGGTTTGCGTCGACGGTTTCATCCACTGGGAAAGAGGGATAATCTACATCACCCTCTGCATAACTCACGCCGTAGACGGTGATAGAGCTGGCGATGATGATCTTGTTGATGCCGAGGCGCGAAGCGCCTTCGATTATGTTGTACATTGCCGAGGTGTTGCTGCGGAAGGTTTCTTCGTCTGGAACGATCATGTTGCGGGAATACCCGGCCATGTGAATGACTGCATCGGGGACTAGCCCGAGTGGTTCGCGGAATGGCTCTGACAAGTGGAAATGAGAGCCCAGTGCGCTGTACACCTGTCCGGTGTTGGTCAGGTCGACACGTAAGGTGTGGACTCGCTCTTCCAGCTCTGCGGGAAGAGGAACGAGGTCGAGGTTCAGGATATCATGGCCTTGTTGGAGGAGATAGTTGATAATGTGTTGTCCGGCTTTACCCGAGCCTCCAGTGATCACAATGCGTTTGCCCATGTTGTGGTCTTGTCTGTAGGAGGGCGGTTGGATAATGCGGGGTATAGGTCACCGTATCTCTGTATGGATAGATTGATGTAGACGCCGTAGACAGTGGCTAATCAGGATAATCTAATTTGGAATGAGAAACTCTCAGATGCGTTTGCAGAGGCAGTCTGTTTGTCTGTTTGCTGTACGCGAAGCGTGGAGCCGGAAGATGACATCCCGAGGTGTTCGGGCCGACAAAGATGGAACGAAAGCTTCCGGATGAGTAGCATGACACCCATTGCTAATTTACAGGAATACTCAGCTCATGCGGCTTTTGTAGTTGACGTGAGACTTGAGTTATTGAGAGACAAGATGTTGTACAAGAATAATACTGTGTATGATGTCTTCTAGCCAGAACGGTCAACCCACATAATCCGCAGTATAATTTAGGGCATATAGTTTTGACAACATTATAATTTGCATAGGACATGACCTAATATAGCACGGGCAATGCTCTCATTGACGGCTTGGGTTTGTTGGCGCTCCTACTTGCTTGATTGCCCGGATCGCCCGTTGTTCAAGGCAAACCTCGTCTTATTGGTTATGTTTTTGTCGGTTATACGGGCAAAAGTTGCCAAGTATGCATGGCACTCACCGACGATCGACCAATATGTACGTCGTGCGTTTGCTCTCTGCCTGATTACAAGTGAAAATTCGATGCCCCAAAGTATCTGGCGCGCAAGCTTCCTTGCTCTCTTCTAAAGATCTCTACGAGGCTCCAAATGAGTAGCAAGGTCAATAGGTCAAGTAAGTTATTATGTATAGGAAGGCTTGCGTTAGCAGAGAGCTAAGAAGCCCTCGGCGTTCCCGTCTCACCCATATGCGGGGTTTACCCCAGGTCACACACGAGACCTCCTGTAACAAACGGTAGGCTTCTGATTACTACCTGCATTATGCAAAGTGTCCACCTGGGCAGGAGGCCCGACCCACCTAGCGAGTCATGATTATGGAGCGTAAAAGCTGAATGTCCAAGCTCACTTAAGATCCAAGCCCGGCATTCTATAATGCGGACATATCAGGGTATAGCGAATTCAACTCCCTTGTTTTGGCGGGTCTGCCGAAACCGAGCTACCTCTTGCTAGACAACCCTAGGCAATGCGAGTCACCCTCAGTGGATTGTGACAGCATTCTTTAGTTCCCTCCAAATCAATCCATGACTGTCCGAAGAAAGCTTCCCAGCGGGCCCAAGCAAATTGAGCCGTCCGAATCCAGAACACCCAATACCCCGCGGGCCTCGATGGGCTGGTTATTTGTATCGAATTGGTATGGATCTCAAAAAGAAAGATTTGGGGTGGAACGAAGAAATATATTAATATGTCGTGGAAATGGGCGATCTGAGCATGATATCATCGGGTGATCACGATGATGATGATATCTCACACCTGCTAATAGCGTGCTTGACAATCGTGATCACCCAGTTAATATCACATAGGGCGTATTATAATGAATATATTCACAACAATGCCTTGGATAATGTGCTCTTGCGGATGGTCTCGACCAGAATATCCGCTACGGCCTTCATTCCATCGAGATTCGGATGGAGAAGCGGCCCCGATTCGAATCCTCCAACCCAAGGTTCTTTGCTACCGAGAGCATGTTCCTGGCTGAGTTGGTGAATTGGGACTGTCTCACACCAATCGGTTCGACCTTCCACAGCGACAGAATACGCATGTTGTAGAACAGAGGCAACACCGCGGTAATGTTGAATTCTCTCCTGAGTCAGCGGGATATCCCGACCAGCTTGAGTGCCAGGTCCCAGAACAGCAAGATATTCAACGAGGAAGATTCGAGCTGCCGGGGCCTGTTTGTGTATCTGATCAAGGACTCCCCCTAGCCGTCCTGCCAATTCGCTCGGTGATAGTGACGCGGACGATTGGAGCTCAGCATCGCAAGCATCGGCGATCATGCCGCCAATATAGTTTATATCGTTTCCTCCAGCAGTTACGGTGATGATATTGGCATCTTCGGGAAGGCCGGAGATTTGCGGTGGGAAGGTTGTGTTGAATGGGGTAGACTGTGGATCGACTGTTATGTTGAGCAACGTTGCACCAGATACGGATAGATCAGTGAGATCAGCCTTCAAGTGCTGCGCCAGAAGATGGGGGTAATTCTGCCCTGATCGCAATGCGGCACGTGGTTCGATTTGTGGGGGGATGTCAGGACCAGCAGCAAAGGAGCTGCCTAGACTTGCAATTTTGAGTTTCTTTGGAGATTCCATTGTCAGATCCAGCAAAATAGAGGAGTAGAGTAAGGAGCAAGAGAGCAGGGAAGTGCGACTTGCAGTTGGAGAGTAGCTTCGGCCAGATCAAAGGTCAGGCGGACCGGACCCGCTTGATCTCTCAGTAGGGTCCCCTGGTCAATGCTCGGGGCCCTGGGTTTCGCTTATATAAGCAGTGTTTGGTTTCCAAGGTTGAAATGTAGTTAACTAACTAGTTAGTTATTGATTCTTACTTGTACTACATAGCATCTTAAAGTATGGATTCGTTGTACCTTCAATAAATCTAGCACCTTTTGGTCGGAATCACCTTCATACCTACGAGTCATGTTGTCACCGTGGTGTCGTGGTGTGCTTTCAACTCCGCACTTGTTATAAGATACAACTGTATTACCCAAACTCAAATAGATAAAAAGTTGTTTAAAATAATGTTCACAAGTTAATATAGACAGGGGAAGCATTCGTCGGAGGGTCCAGGATATTCAAGATATGGGATATTTGTTTCTCCAGTAGAAGCCCTCTTAAACGTTCATAGCATGCCAATTTTTCTGTACTTCTGGATGCGACTCAACCAAAGAGGAATTTCGATATATATCAGTAAATGGTAGGTTTTGTGCACCAATATAGCGTATTATCTCGCGAAGAACCGTTTTGACGTTATTCTTAGCCGCGAACTCAAGTAGCGATAAACCAAAGCGATTCTCCGGAAGAGGATTTGCTCCTCGATCGAGAAGAAGCCGAGCATAATTAAGGCACTTTACTCGCCTGCAGAGGCCATGAAGTTGTGTTGGTAGCCTTAGAGATTTCTGATATCAGCACGAAGCGCAAGAGCATAGTAATCGTTGCTTCTGCAGCTTCTTAGTCCTTGGCTCTTAAGGCAACCTCTAGGTATGATCTTGAATGACGCGAGTCACCGTCCTATTTCAAATTTGGGTTAAACCCGTTTTTGTGGAAGAACTTAGTGACGTTTGCATCTCCTCGGTATACTATCTCTCTTAACACTTGTTGCGTACCCCTATCTCCCGCTAGTGCTACCACACCATGCATAGTAAGAAGATCTAAGATAGCCGGTCCATCCTCTCCTTGGGTTACTTCGCTAATCAGACTTTCGTCGAAGGCGAAAGAGACGGAGGCCTCTACGGGCATATTGTGGTCGAGTAACACTTGTATAGATGCAATATGCCCAGAACTGACGGCCTTTATCATCGGATTTGCTTTATCTTCGAAGAATTGAGCTTGTCCGTCCGCACCTCGCGAAAGAAGCAAATCAATGATCCGAGGGAACCTATAGCTGAAATCATAGCTGACTTTCCTTTAGTTTCTGCTTTCTTAAGATCGAGGCTATGGTCGAGCAGCAACTTCACTGTCTCGATATAACCGCCTTAATAGGCTGAAAAGAGCGGCTGATACCCCGGGTCGTAATCCATGTCTTTATGTTCTTCCTCTTTATATAGTCTTACACCATGTTCTAGAAAGATAGTAGCAATATCAATACGCCCTCTTTCTACGGCCGCGGAGAGCGCTAGGCGGAGCTCAGAAGAGATATCAGGAAAGTCATGACTACAAATAATATTTACATCACATCCACTCGTAAGAATCTCCCGTAGAAGGCTCCCAAGTCTATAGAGTGCGGAAACAAATAGAAGGATAGTCAAGTCCTCGCCCCCGTATAGAGATTTTGGTATTCACGTCAATTTTTGAGAGGAGGTATTCCACGATATCATATTTCTCGCGTTCATCTCAAAAGGCCATTATATAGCACCGTCACGTATCTCGGGAGCCGGACAGGCTCCGTTCTCCCGAGTAACTTAGTAGCTTCAAGATCTCCTCGTATGGAGGGCCCAACATAGTGGGGTAAGTTTCCTTCTAGATATAACATTTGCATCGGCTCCGAGAGTAGTCAAAATCGAGCAATTGCCAACTTATTCCCCTATATCGCATATATAAGAGGATAATTGGAACTATACCTACTAGCTTCATTAATGCTCGAGGAGACAATTCTGCTAGTAATTTGACTAGCGCCAAGTGTCCGCCGGTGATAGCTAGGTATATAGCATCGATCGCATTTTGAGTGTTCCAATCTCTCATGGCACCATACGTAATTAGCGAGCGTACAACGGTCTCAAAGCCCTTCTCAATAGCGAGGGTAAGCGGATCACTTTCACACTTATAATTCATGTTCGGGTATCCCTCTTCATCGACTTCGTCCTGGTTCTGAAACTCTTCGGTGAGGGGTCGCCACCTTTCCTTTCGACATGGATTGAGGCCTAGGTCTAGGAATACCTTAACCGCTTGTTCATGTCCGTGAGCCGCCGCCAAGGCCATTGGCTGCCATTCTTCGTCCACGCAAGCACTTGGTGAGGCGCCGGATTCTAGTGACCTTCGCGCAGTACTCTCGACACCATTTCGCGCTGCCCATTCAAGGGCAGAGCTGCCAAAATAGGGGACATGGTGTTGATATAGATAATCGTTCAGCAGATGGTAAAAAGATTTGCTTGTTCTTAAGAACGAGTTCAATTAGCTGTCGTATTTAAAGAAGGTGACGATATGGGTGATCAACTCGACGGGTACGTTTGAAAACCCCATTTCAGATGAATGCGTAGATTTCGCCCTATGAAGGAAAGGATAGAAAGTTCGGTGATACTTCCAAGAGCGATCGAAGTCGGAGCGATGCAACACCGTGTGTTGTATCGCAGGGCCGCTCAGAACTATTTTGCACACGCTCCACCAGCAGTAATCCCCAGCGCTCTGGCAAAATCTATATTGTACATTCATGGGTTGGTTTTGTAATTGACATTAATTAGTTGTAGGAATGATTTGTTACAGAAATATTGATGTTCCGGATCTAGACCTGATATACATATGTAGACTTGGCGCTAGGGCTGGAGAATGAAGTGAAGAGTGTGGGTGGTGGCACCAGTTTGGGGACGTACTGTATGTACGATCAGAGAATCGAATGTTGAATCAATGACAACAGATGACTATGCAAGGATGTAAGTGAGCCCAGCGAAAACCGCTGTCAGCAATGTCACTCCACCCACCGGCAGATGCACTGCGCCCGCATTATCAGCCGCAGGATCTTTCTCGTCAGAATCCTTCTCATCTCCAGAATGTTTCTCATCTGCGGAGTCTTTGTCATCCGCAGTGACATTCAAGGCAGCCGAGATATTTGAAGCAGTAGCAGAGTCGAACTTGACCGCACAAGGGTCCACAGTAGCCCATGGTGATCTCTTCGAAACGACCGCGCAGGTGTCATGACCGCCCCAATCGGTGCCTTCCACATCCATTGCCCCCGTAACATTCCAGGCTGCAATACCTGTAGCGCAGGTATCTTTCTTGCTGGCAGCAATGAGGTCCGGCTTCGCCGCGCCACCCTTGGTGGTGAAGATGATACTATCAATTGTGGAATTGCTGGGGTAAAACATAATACCCCCACTGGACCCGGTGCAACGTCCGTATTCCACGATCCAGGTGAGTTCCCACGTGCCCTCGGTGTTGACCAAGTCAGTGTTGTTATAGAGGAAGTAAGGATCGCTGTCAGAGGAGCTGGTCGAGTTCAAATTGAATAGGCTTGGCTCGCCCATGTTATTGTAATCGCGGGGAGGCGTGATAATGTAAGAAACGTTCATGTTGAGCGGCGCAACCAGATGTGGGTTCTGAATGGCAAACACGACGGGCATCTGTGCGGAGGGCGCGTATGTCTCATTGCGTGGGAAGACCAAGTCGACTTCGAGGACACCCGATGTAGCTGAGGCGCCCATGACCTTGGTGCAGGCCTGCAGGGCCAAAAGGGACCCGAGGTACAGCTTATTATTGAATGTGTACATATTGGGTACTTAGAATATTGAAGATGAGGAAATGAAAATGAAAGCGGAGATAGAAAAGAAGACCACTTCAACGTATATGAACAGTTTCCTTTTTAGGGGCCAGAACTTAATTAGACCAATAGACCAAATTGGCACAGTTTCCAGGGCCATAGGGCACCCGCAGAACCGAGTCCAAAGTTTGGAATCGCAAGAAAAAAAATAAGAAAAAAGGAGAAAGTCGGGGATATCCGGTGATGTCTCACCATGTTCGCCCACTAGTGCTCCACCGTCCCTTGGCTTAATCTTACGGGCATCGGGCCCTGGGGGCCGACCTCGCAGGGTCGCAGGGTCAAGGTCGCAGGGTAAATGGTACTAGTTATTACTAGTATTCTATGTAGGGTTACCAGGTTGTTACCGGTATGTTACCATGGTACTAGTTACTATGTAGTTTCTTAGCTTGCAGGGACACAGGGTAAAAAGTAATCAGTACGGTTAGTAGATATAACCATAAGAAAGCTTTAGATACGGTGTAAATCGTACTAGTTTGGACCCTTCGGCGGTATGTTTATTTACCTATTAAAGTTAGCCTACGGCCTCTAGGTGGGTTTTTACTTAATAATGGAGGTGCTTGGGATCGCCAGCACTAGAACTCAGCTTTTTTTTTTTTTTTTTTTTTTTTTTTTTTTTTTTT